ACATTTAACTAATATACTAGCTGATAACTTATAAGCGAATTTTAAAATGTTCCTGAAATTGATTTGAATGTATGTTTGGTACATTTAACGGCATAATTTCAAAATTTGTCCTATAATTTGGCCACATTCTAAAAAATCACCCCTATATTGACCACTTTCAAAATTAGTCCTATAATTTCAAAATTTAATCAAATTTGGTCCTTTTTATCCGGATCATGGATTAAAATGTGATTAAAAAAGAACCAATTTTGATTAAAAAATGATCAAATTTGATTAAATTCTGAAATTATAGGACCAATAGGGGTGGTTTTTTAGACTGTGGCCAAATTATAGGACCAATTTTAAAATTATCCCTACATTTAACTAATATATGAGTTGATAACTTGTAAGTGGATTTCAAATTTATAATTGGTGGTCTATGATTTATGAATGAAAAACTAGTTTATATAATAAAAGTATTTAGTAAAATTAGCTGATAAGCTAGCTGAAATAAAAATTTCAACATGTTTGTTTGAAAAGCTACCCAAAGAAGTTTGTAAGATAAACTCGATTTTTATTTTTATTTTTTTTTTAAAAAGAACTCGTTCTACATATCAAACCAAACTTATTTAAATACATGAACCTTATATTCTAACCAAATAAATTATAAACCAACTTACGTCACACATTATGATAGTTTTTAATAACTAAAAGCAAATATATTATATTTGAATGACATGTTTGCAATCTATGAAAAAATTCAATTTGGGTGAAGTAAAAAGACATATTTCAAGCATGTAATAAAAGGAGCAAACTTGGTTTGTACTACTATGTGGTAATGAAATGAGAATAGTAATTGCATATATTGATTTAGTAAGCTTCATTGGTGTAGGGACTGCCTATTTTTCCCAATTATAGTGTTTGGTTTGTAAAACATTAGGAATAAAGCTATATACCAATGTATATCCACACATACAACTATTTGAGTATTCTCAATTATTCTCATGTATGAGTTAAGTTTAGAGACTAGCTCTCAAGACATTATTACAATTTATGACACATACTAGTACTAATACTCATGTACAACATGAGTGTTGAGTTAATGAATATATGTGTAATGTTATTTATATCTAATATCAAACCTAACTCCAGAGCAACAAAAATATAAAAACAACATCACGAAGCATATATTTTCGTCATGTCAGCATCCGAATCGTGATAATCTACCACCTAGGCTCAACACGTTTTGAATTAATATTTAGAGAGGGATTTGCACATAATCACTGATTTAATATTATCTGTTGATTGTAATATGTACTTCATATTGATAGTCTACCAATAAATGATTCCTTACATGTAAATATTTTCAAAAACAATTATTTAAGAAGCTAGAAACTATCAGCTTATGTAAAAACACTTATCAAATAGTCTTTTAAATGCAAAAATTCATCTGAATAATTAATCCATATTTGATACCAAATTAACATAAAGTTATGGAAAAGTTGATTCCTAAAAAAGACATTTCCAAATAAGCAAAAGATATATATAACTTTTGGAGAAATTTATTATGAAAACGTGCATTAAAAAAAAAAATAATAAATAAAAAAAATAAAAAATTCACAAAAGTGTTTTTTGCCAGCAATTGCAGGAAAATGGTAAAATTACCAGCAATTACTCAGCATCGTCACTGTAAAAAATGTAGGCCTTCCTAACGATTTTTTTACGAACCGGAACCAGAACCGAACCAAAATAACCTGTCGGTTATTACACATATATTCATAGGAACCGAAAAAAACCGAACCGCGTTATAACGGTTCGGTTTTTCCGGTTCTTTGGGTAGCCGACTTATGAAAAAAAAACAGGTAATAACCGGTTTTGAGTTAATAACCGACCAAAAAATTACAACTCATGTGCTAAATGTATCATGCAAAACCGAGAACTGAAATGAAAAATGAGGAGCCGGATATTATATACCAAGAACCGAAACCGATTTATATATATAAACATATAAAACATGTATATTTCATATATATTGTCGGTTTTCAGTTAATACACAAACATCTGGAAAGAACCGAGAACCGAAACGAATTTGTGCAAAAAATAACCAGAACCAAAAAAAATATTTTTTTTAAATAACCAAACCGAACCGGTTATTTTCAGTTCGGTGCAGTTCGATTCTCGTGTCTAAAATCCTACCCCTAAAAAAATGTGTCCTGAGTTCACCATTTCTTTTTTTTTTTTTTTATATATGTGTGTATTATAAAAAGTTATTATCAGTGGCGGTGGCCACCAAGCAAAGCAATCATCATCAAAGGAACTCTGTTTTCTTGATATATATTCAGCAATTTTTCGCTTCAGATATTTCCACTCTTTCTCTCTTCCCTTCTTTATTACTGCCTCGATTCATCACTATCACTGTACCATTATATGCTCAGCTGCCTCAATTTTGAAACAGTAACCAAAAAGGGGCTGTAAGTTCAAATTTTTCAAGAAAAAAAAAGTAGAAAGGTCGTTTTTTTATTGAAGGGTCTCGTTCAAACTTGAACAGAAGCCATTAATGGCAGCAAGGTATCTGAAAAATGGTATCTTTTTTTCTTTCCCTTTTTATCCCTTTCTTACATCATGTGTGATTTTCGATTTTCTTCCTTAATTCTAACCTTAGGGTTTTGTGGAGTCGAATGTAAATTTGCTGTGGTATTTAATGTGATGAAAGCAATGTTCTTTTATGATTTGACTTAAATTTCTCTTGGCCCTCTTTAATGAACTGGAAATTTTCTTCCTTTTTTTAAGGTTTTTCTTTTATTCTTTATGGGAATTACATGTTTTTTGCTCTGTGCCCATGTTTGTTTGTCTTAAATTCTTTTATTATTTGTCTCAATTTTTGGAGGTGTCTCTTATGATTTTATATGTAATTGCTGGTTAATTTTCTAATTCTGCTGTTTTTTTCAGGGTGTTTTCTTGGACTTTTTTAGGGGTGGATAAGCTTTGAGGAGAAAAATAGATCTCAAATTTGTGATTTTTTAATTATTGTTTTGGGTTTAAATGATGGATATGCCTAGAAATGATCCTAATGTTGAGCCACCTAAAGGGACTGTAAATTACCATACACCCAATATTTCTTCAGATTGGCATCTAACTCCAAACAACACATCAGTGGAGATGTTTTCATCTTATCTTCCCACCTCTTTGATGGGCTCTTTCATGTCTGACCTCCCGACGACGAACAGCCAGATTCTAAGCTATCGTGACTCGAATGCTCGAAATGAAGCCAGCTCATCAAGCCCTTCGAGAAATGTGGGCTTAGGCCAAAGCATGTTCCTTTCGAGTTTGCCCGATTTTACGGAAGATTCGGGTTTTATCGAGCGGGCTGCGAGGTTTTCTTGCTTCAGTCAGATGGTCAGCCCTTTTGGCAATCTTGGTTATATGAATGCTGATGATCCTCGTTCGGGACTAATGCAAAGGAGGCCAACCGAGGCTTTAGCGGGTGAAAAAAATGAAGGAAGCCCGTTCAAGAACGAATCGGAACTCGATAAGTCTATGTTTTCTCGTGATGTATTGGGTACTCAGCCAGAGGAGGCCGAATTTAGCGGGCGTGAAGGTCCGGAGGAGTTGTCTAGTAAAAGGGTTGGATTAAAGAAGAGGAAAAGAGCTGAGCAGGTTGAATTTGAATTGAACTACCTCAATTTTACTTTTTTTTTCTATTAGGGCTTTGTTTTTGTTATTATTTTCATTGATTTTCGAGTGTGTGATTGTTTGTGATCAGAAAAATGTGAATGACGAAAATAATGAAGCCGATCGACCGGCTATTGAGACAGAGGACACTGATGAAATTAAAGAGAAGGATAATGAAAAAAACCCGATTTCGGCTGAGAACCCGAGTGGCAAAGAGTACATACACGTTCGAGCACGAAGGGGCCAGGCCACGAATAGCCACAGTCTTGCAGAAAGGGTAGATTTTTTATTTATTTTTTTCATTCTTTTTTATTTTCTTTGCAATAGTTATGGAATTTTATTATTCTGCATTTTCCTGATGTTAGATAAGAAGGGAGAAAATTAGTGAGAGGATGAAATTTCTCCAGGATCTTGTTCCAGGTTGCAACAAGGTAATCCAATTAATTGTCATTTGCTAATCAATATACATTGTATAATATTATTTATTAAATTTATTCTTGAACATGTTATTTGAATGCATGGTCTTTTATTAGCAGGTCACTGGAAAAGCTGTAATGCTCGACGAAATCATCAATTACGTGCAATCCTTACAGCGGCAAGTTGAGGTGATTACGATCTATGAGTTCTTTGTTTGTTCATTGATATATATATTTTATATATTCCATTTTGTTAGCTTTTTTTTTTCTGAATGTGATCTTTGAACTCATGTTCCTAGAAAAAATTTACATGATTGCATTTTCTACTCTACAACAGTTCCTATCGATGAAGCTTGCAACAGTGAACCCGAGCAACGATTTTGATATAGAAGGGTTTCTTGCTAAAGATGTAAGACATTTGATTTACAATTTTTTTTTCTTGGTGAAAGTTTGCCAAGTATCTATCTGTATGCTTAAATTTATTTAAATAAAATTGATTTCATTACAGATCATGCAGACTAGATTAATCCCGAATTTTCCTCCGCCACAAACTCGATTAATCCACCAAACAACACTGAATCGACCAATCAATTCTCAGTCTAATTTTGTCTCGAGAGGATATAGAGAGCCTACCTCTCAAGTAAGCTTCATCTACTTTCTCAAGATTTATTACTTGAAACTAATAATAATAATAATAAGTTACACCGAACTCCCTTAAAAGGTCTGAACTATGGGGGGTGTTTTGCACTTTTGCCCCCTAAACTGTGCGTTTTTTTCGACAATGGCCCTTACAATGCAGGCATCAGGAATGTGGGACGACGAGCTTCATAACATTGTTCAAAATGGGTTCAATTTAAGCGCATCCGGTTTAAGTGGTATATTTCTTTTAAGAGTTCCTTTCTCGCTTATTAATGATATTCGAACATTTGATGTAATTTTCTGTTTCTTTCTTTTTTTCTTAAAAATAAACTCTTTGGCAGGTCAAGCGAAAGCTGAACCTTAACAAGTTGTAGACGGGCAAATTTAATGCGTTTTGTTGAGCGATGGGCCGAATATTGAATATGATCAATGCCTTATCTAATATCTTATCCCTTCACTGTTTGCTGTACTTACATGTACCGGGAGATAACGTTTGCAATGTCTGTGTGTCGATTTTACGATGATAGTTGTTATCTAAGTTTCAGTACATTCATGTTGGAAAAAAAAAAAAAAGTAAAGTTTATGGTTGATGGAAGATGATAACTTGGGAATATGGTACAATTGTTCCCTTTGATTTTGAAATTGTTGTAATAGAGATGGTGCATTGTTCTTGTTCAATCAGTTTGAGATACAGATCAAGAATCTATTATATGTTTACTAGAAAGTTTTTGCTAAAATACAGCATTCAAAATAAATCATGCAGAAAATCATACAGTAAAAATATAATGCAATTTTAAAATCAATGAAAATACACCATTCAAAATAAAATCATGCATAAATCATACATAAAAACTAGTTATAAGTAAAAATATAATGCAATTTTAAAATCAATGAAAATAATCAGACTACAAATAAACTGGTAAAAATTTGTATATTTGGAATTAAAATAAAATTTTTGTGAATGTAAAAATAAATTACAATTTAAAAGTAAGTGGTGTTACTTTTTTCAAGATTTTCCAGTTGGGCTGTAAGAGAATAAAATAGTAAAATAATATTTGATTTGATGATAGTAAATACTACTAAATAATACCATCCATACATTGCTAAGATTATTTTGCAATTCTGTAAGAGAACGCATTAAAAACTAAAGTTCCCCATTAATATCACCACAAAATTTGATTTTTTTTTTTCCCCAAGCCAACAAAAATTTCAACCATTATGTATCCAGTCCAGATTACCAGCCACTGCCAAAAATTCTGAATTTCTGATATAGGATTAATTTCTTTTAACTAATAAAAGCCAATACAATCTCAGTCACTCCAGGGATCGCTCTCCATCCTCACTTCCGATGGCTCGATCACTTGAGTTTCCGAGCCATCATCCGAGCCCACACCATCGCCCTCAGGGGCATTTTCGTCATTTCCTGCTTCGTCGTCCTCCGATCTGCCCCACCTTCCTCCGAGTGCCATAGCCATCATCTCGTATATTTTGTTACCAAGCTCAGCTGGGCTATCAGGCTGCACACACAATATTTCAAAGTGAGATGAAAGCGAGAAAAAAAGTTATACGATTGTTGAGGGAAAAAGGTGTTATTCGACTCAAACAAGCAAAAGGGTCATCTGGAAAATAAACAACTATTATGGGCATGTTTGCAAACCCATCAAAGAGATATAATTTGAAAGTTTATATGACCTATTGTATCCATTTGCGGTTAAAGAAAAGCCCGCTTAATTTTAGAGGCCCGGTAAACTATCTACAAAGCCCATGAAATAATAATTTTATGTCATGATAATTAATCACACCTCTAAGGTAGAGATAAATTTTTGTCCACTTTATCTACTCAACTGATTTTACACTTGCACCCTCATCAAATCCAAAATTTAGTTACTTTTTAAGGACAATTTAATAAAGTACTCTTTTTATCAGTGTTTTCTTTTACTTGTCAAATACACATTTATCTTCACACATTATTATGTTGTACACTAAACATGTAAGTATTTTTTATTGAGAAGTTCAATATTATCATTTATCTCTCGAGAGTTTGCAAATGTGCCATATGTAAATAGGTATGTGAGAACTTACAGTGAATCCACTTGATATAAGGGCCGTATCGTATAAAAGTTCGATGGCCCTTTTGGCATCTGTGCTCTCGGGTGAATTCTTGCAAGCCGCCTGCAAAAGTAGGACAAGAGAAAGTACATTAATAAGATAAAAATTGGGGCTCAAGTTGCAAAAGGCCTACCCCGGAAGTTTCTAATCACCCAAAGGAAGAAAAATAAAAATAAAAAAATCTTTTAATTATATGACGTTTTCACGTGATTTTAACCAATTAACTATTTAATGTTGGGATAGCAAGAATTCAATAATGTCACCCAATTTTGACCTAATTACAAGATTCCAATTATCTTCCAAGGTAAAAAGTTCTCCATTGGAATTTCAGTATACGGTAACTCAACAGAAACACAATACAAACAATACAAATGAATGCGGAACCCGTAATTTTGAAATAAAATTCAAAATTTTCTTTTTTATATTCTGTAATTAAGTTAAACCTCAAAAGCATCTTTTATTAACTAACCCTAATTTAACTACTCCAACGAGGATCAAAACGTAAAGGAGTGAAGAAAAAGGTCATACATTGAGATCCTTGACAATCGGGTGATCAGGATTGATCTCCAAAATTCGCCTTCCCCTCATGAATTCCAGGCTGGTATTATCACCAAGTGTCTGTGCTTTCATTAATCTGTTTCAAAAAAAAAAAATGGAAACAAAGTAAGCATTATTAACTAATCAGAAAACAAAAAAAAAATACCATTTTTACAACCAAACCCTGCATATCATGTCTATTTCCCCTGACAGACCTTTCCATGTTTGCCGACCATCCAAACTTGCCCGACACGAGGACACATGGCGAGGAGCTAAGACGTTTGGAGATTTGCACTTTAGCCACTTTGTCACCAAGCTGTTGCTTAATCCAATCACATAAAAGATTGTACTCTTGCTTGTTTTCCCTCTCTGTCACCTCATCTTCATCACCTGTTAATTTCAGATAAAAAGTTTCAAGGAGACCCTGTAATCTTTCAAAATGACAAAGTGCACCCACACATTTTGCACCCCTTCTAACATACAATTGTATTGTTCTTTTTTAATTATAATAAACCCAAGCGCTCGTTTTTGTAATTTTCAGTTCATCAGGGAGTGGACAGAGAAGAAAAGAATATATATATTTATACTAACCAAGCTCAAGATCTTCCTTGCTGATGTCAACAAACTTCTTTTCCTTGTACGTCTGTAAATTCTGGATTGCAACCTCATCAATCGGCTCTATTAAGTAAAGCACCTGTATAATCGATATACAAATACAATGAGAAAGAATAAAGTAATGGGGGCATAAAATAAATACTTCCAATTTTATGTGAGAGTTCCTTTTGGGCAAAAAATAAAAATAAAATGAAAAGCGAGTCGTTTGTAAAAATTATAATATCATGTACCTCAATGCCTTTCTGCACCAATTTTTCCAAAAATGGAGCAGATTTAGCACTTTTTAAGCTGTCTGTGGCCAAGTAATAAATAGCTTTTTGGTTTTCGCCCATATTCTCGACATAGTTATCCAAACTTATGGGCTCCTCTTCACTCTTGGAAGAGAAAAACCTCAGCAATGGTGTTATCCTCTTGTGGTTTCCACTGTCTTCAATGCAGCCCAACTTCAAAAACTTACCGAAATTCTCCCAGAATTTTTTGTAGTCCTAGAAAAAAAAAATATTATGCAAAGTGATAGTTTAGTACTTTGGAGAGGAGAAAATATTTAAATTTTATGATTTTATCATAATAAACAAACCTCTTTATTCTCGTTTTCGGACATATCCTGTATCATATCAAATGTCTTCCTGACAAGTCTCTTTCGCATTATCCTCACCTTCAACAAACAACGAAAATAAGTCAAGAGTTCTGTTTGATAAATAAAAAAATAATAATAATGAGATCAAAACAAGGGTTCCCTTACAATTCGGCTCTCTTGAAGGATCTCTCTTGAAACATTAAGGGGAAGATCATCCGAGTCCACCACGCCCTTCACAAAGCTCAGGTACCTTGGGAACTACAATTTATCATTGTCAATATAACTTATTGACTAAAATTTCAAAAATTGAACTTTGACATGGGACCTTAAAAGTGAATCAAATTCCAAAATAAAATAAATATTATGATCAAACTAAATTGGTAAGGGATATTACCAGTTCGCCATCAAAATCATCTGAAATGAAGACACGCTTCACATACAAACGGATATTTTTAGTCTTGGGATTGATAACCTCTTCATTGTTAAGCGGTGCCATTCCAGGAATATAGAGTACACTTTTGAACTCAACCTCACCCTGCAAAAAATATTAACTCAAAACCTCAATTTTAATAATACAAAAGTACAAAATTTTATAACACCACAGGAAATATGCGTCAAGTACCTCTGTAGTGAAATGGGTGTAGGTAAGTGGCTCAAGAAATTCATTAAATGTCTTCTTGTAAAATTCTTGATATTGCTCCTTTTCAACTTCCTTGGGATTACGCATCTGTAAATTCGAAATATTAAGTCGGCATATGTCTTATTCTCCAGGCGCAAATTACAACTTGAAAACAAAGAATGTTAATTAGGTAAAATATAGCTCTTAAACTCACCCATATGGGTTTCGTCTCATTTGCCAATTCCCAGTCCCAGTATTTTTCAGTTTTGGTCTTTTTAGTCTTCTTCTTTTCTTCCTGCACGCAACAAAACATGAAGGCCAATAAATAAACATCCTTCTTTACATCAAACAGAAAATAGCAAGTGTGCAAAGGTCACTACCTCAGGTTTTTCTTCTCCCTCTTTTGGTTCCTCCTCTTCTTCTACCTGCCAAAAGGTTCAATTACAATGATTTACTACATGCCCATGCTTTAGGTTCCATTAAAAAACAGAGTATTGAAATGATCGCAGGTGAAAAAAATTGACGAGAACCCTTTTGATAAAGTTTCAAGACAATGAAATTGATAGGTTTATATAAATAAATAAATGAAAGCCTATGGTTCAAGAAATTGAAGCCTAACCTCAATAGTTCTTGACTTCTCTTGCCATGTATAGATGGGAAACGAGACAAATTGTGAATAATTCTTCACCAAATTCTGAATCTTTGTTGGTTCCGTATATTCGTATTTGTCATCCTCCTGCAAAGAAAGCATAGCTACATTATTCTATGCGCAAGCTTGAAATGACATTTTTCTAACAACCCAAAAACAAATAAAATAAAAATAAATCGATAATGATCATAACAACATCAACAACAACAATAATCTTCCAGGTAAGGTCATGTTATTTTAGAATAATTGAGTCGAACAGATATCAACAAATTAAGAACTAGAAAAAAAATTAGCGATAAAAATAGCAACAAAAAATATACCCTCAGATAAAGTGTGATTTGAGTCCCTCTACGCAGTAGTTTATCGGGGTCATTTTCCTCCCTAATCACATATGAGCTGCTATCAGCTACAGCCTCCCAAATATACTGCTTGTCAGATCGAGGGCTCTTTGTTGTCACCACCACCTGAAATAAAAATAATGCAAAACCAAAAAATAATTTTTACATTCTGTACAACAACAAAAAATATTACTTATATTATATAAAAGAACCCAAGGGCACCTTTTCAGCAACCAGGAATGCAGAATAGAATCCAACACCAAATTGACCGATCAAGCTATTGTCAGCTCCAAGATCCTTGTTTTCCTATACATTGTGAGTTGTCAAATGTCAATGTAACAGAAAAACCAAAATTTAATGAAGTCAATCCATATAATTTTCATAACGACTTGGTACCTTCAGAGCCTTCAAGAATCTGGAAGTGCCACTTTGTGCAATAGTTCCAAGACACTCTATAAGCTCTTCTTTGGTCATGCCAATACCGGTGTCTCTGCAAGAAGGAAAAATACAGACTAAGAAACATTTTCTTAATAAAAATCCTAGAAAAACAGAGTGAGAATACATACATTATTGTAATAGTGCCGTTATCTGGATCAGGTTTGATACGAATCTCGAGCTCACCAGCATCGCCAAGTAAAGAAGGTTCGGTTACACTCAAGAACCTCAATTTATCAAGAGCATCACTTGCATTACTGCAGGAAACATTTCAAATGAGTGAAAAATTGCCCCCATAAGATACTAAGGCAGAAGCACAAACTATAAACTTCACCTAACAAGCTCTCTAAGGAACACCTCCTTGTGGCTGTACAAGCTATGAACTATCAAGTCCAACAATCTGCTCACCTGAAACCCATTTAAAATACATTAGACAGCAAGACACCAAGCCTTCAAACCTCGAAAAAACATACAATTTTAGTACAGCCAAAGCACAAACCCCACAATACCGAACAAGATCTAATTTTTTTAACACAATGGAATAAAAAATTAAAAGAACCAATTTTTATCACTTTACCACAAACCAAACAACAAGCAAACTAAAAGACAAAACTTTACCTCAGCCTGATATTCATGTGTCTCTCCAGGGCTATCGGCGGTCTCGTTCTCGGCCACGGCGGCTGTGGCCTCGCACCTCAGCGCCGCCAATCTGCAATCCTTCCTCGCCACTTTACAGTCCAGCCCACTTCTCGAAAACCTGCTTCTCAACCCATTTCTCGGCAAAAAAGTGCTTCTCAAGAAGCACTGGTTGCTTTTACTGTAATTCTTCGAAGAAAACGATGCTGGAGTGAATGGGATTGGGGAAACTGAAGCAGAGGCCAGGCTTCTGCTCAACACAGGCGCCATGTTCTCAATTTTTCTTGGGAAAAAATGGATTTGCAAGATAGAGGCTTTTGCTCTGGTTTTGCCTATGAATTAACTCACTCTCCCTTCAATTTGAAAAACCCTATGCGGCAAGGGTTTAGTAAATGAAGGTGAGCGAGGAGGGTTCTAGAAATGGATAGAAGAACTGTTGTGAAGGTTTTCGTTGGAATTTTGTGAAATGGGGGATTGTATGGTCTTGGTTGGTGCCATTTCAGCAAATACAATATCCCATTGGTTTTTACATTTTTCATAATTTAATTTAGTTTGTATCTTAAAATATTTTTTAAAACTTTATTTTAACAATGTATTAATCTTTTGACACGTTTATATTAATATAAACAATATTTTTAACATATATATTTATTTTATAATACAGAAAAATAATCATTTTATATATGTCGGTTCATCATAATACTCAAATATTATTTTATTCAAAAATTCATTATATCATGATTATTTATAACATTTTATTTTCGTATATAATGATAAATATTTATATTAATATTATTTATTGATGTAATTAATTTAAAAATATAAGCAAATTTAATGTTTATTAGTGATATGTTTATATGGAAGGTAAGATAAAATGGAATTAACAAACCTATAATTGAACAAACCCACCATTCAAGGGAGCATTTAATGTTGTCTGATTTTATGGTAAAAAAATCAAATAATTTTCCAAAGTAACATACAATTATTTTTGGTGGATTTGTTTGCTTACTATTCTAGTAAATGGTTATTCTTATTATATATATAGATTAAAATTGAAAACTATGGTGTGCGATGATTAAGAGTGTTACTATTAGTTTTTTCAATAGATTGTTGCGTTTTTATTTACACACATTATTTAACCACAATTGTGATGTTTGAATTTTGTTGATATTTTTTTATATTTGTTACTAAATTTTATTCCCACAATTTGCACAACATTGATATGTAAAACACATTATAAGCGCTCTCAGGATATAAAAAATATATATACATATTAAATTATATATATATTTTTTTTTTTGCGCAACCAAAATTCAATTTATGCTTAATTTATAACATGTAATAATATATATATATATATAACATATAAGTAGATATATAAAATTTACGTCCTCGTAACATATAAGTAGATATCTACAATTTTCGCCTTCGTAACATATAATGACAAATCCGACCAAGTCGTCAATTATAATAAAAAGAGGTTAAAGCTTAACGATGGGCATCATAATCTTGTGCAAAACGTGCACCAGATTAATTTCATTTATTTTGTGTTTACATTCATTATATTTTTCGTTGTTATTTACATAACTTTTACCAATTCAAATGCTCTATTTCACATGCAACTCTTGAATAACAACTGGACAACATCACTTTAGAGATTGATGTTTGGTCTAATTTCTTTATCCAACATCAGTACCATCGAGTTTGCAAATTTACGAGAGAAAACTTTTCAAGAAGCTCCATCAAAACACTACGGAAAATAGACGTCCTCGGCAAATAAGAACTTCTCACCATTTTATCCAGAGACGACAAAGTTAATAAGAATTAAGAACCAATAAGAATCATGACAAAAACCAAACATCAATTCATAAAAAGTACTCGACAACTAAACCATAAACACACGACATAACTACAAACAAAAGCGAAACGAAAACATTAATATGAACATCCAGAATAACATAAACAATAATTAACAAAAAAAAATCATTTGTCATCTCATATCAATTTCCTCATCAACAAAAAAAAAAACAATTACTAATATACCAAACATAAACTATAAATAAACACCAAATAAACTTTGAAACATATTTGATCGAAAATATTTGCATGCTGCCGCTGCTGGCAAGCAGAGCTTTCGTCGAGTCATTGAGACTCCGTCGACGACCGTTCTCGAGACGAGCCTACAGTCACAGTCGCTCGTCTCCGAGGTGCTCGATATATCACAACCACAAATCGTTGTCGTCTTTGGAAGAGCCAAGCGAACCACTACCGCTTGATAGTGGCGATGCCATTGGTCCCATTATGTCGCCTTGGACAAACTCCGTTGGTGCCAGACGGATCGAGTTCCAACAGCCCTGGCTGAAGCCCGCCGTCCGATGACATTCGCCACTCACGAGCCGAAAAGGACTGTCGTACGATCGTAGCAGTCTGCTTCAGCAGCCAAAACCACCAGTTGTCGCGCCACTACACTGCGCCACTCAGTCTGGATTTATTAGGTAATTGGAGCTTTCTCTGGACAAGCTTGCGGTTGACCTTGGGTTTAAACTTTAATGTTGCAGAGACGAGAACTATATCTCAATGATGGGCTAAAAAATGTGCGCGTTTTATATATTTAATCGTGTATTTTTATACACTTATTTTCTTTGCACGTTTACATTTTTTGACCTATTAATTATTTGGATGGAATTATTTGCTTTGATATTTTTATATTTATTTTCAGCAGATTGGAGTATTTTGTGTACGAGAAACAATTGGCGAATGTTAATATGATCAATTAGATGCCCAATACCAGTTCAATTTTGGCCCGACTCATTATTTACTTGTGCTAATGAGGCCGAAATAGAAGAGATAAAAAAAGAAGCTCAAAAGCCCATCCTTTGTGGGCCACGTAGAAGAATTTTGATTTTAATTTGATGGCATGGAATTTGTACGGGTAAATTGCACCAAACCCCCTGTATTATACTAAATATGAGCGTTTGTAATTTAAAAATTGCGTCAAATCTTCTTCTATTGTACTTTTGCATGCGCGAAACACCCTAAACCGTCTAAGATGACGGAAGTGGTGTGCATGCGCGAAACACCCTAAACCGTCTAAGATGACGGAAGTGGTGTGCATGCGCGTGCTATGCGGCTTTTTCTTCTTTTTTCACCCCCAAAGTCGCAGAATTTACAATTTTACCCTTACTATTCTAGTCATTGTTAGGCAAAACAATAAAAGTTTGGACGCTCCTTCAAGGATTCGAACCCAGGCCAAAATAACATTAGGCAAGCCTTCAAACCACTCTACCACCATCATTCTATGTTACATATTAAACACATGTCACATTTATTTA